AATGTTATTAAAACTATATAAAAATATTCGTTTGGGAGCTCATAGAAAGGGGAACCCGACAAAACAAAAAAGATCAATTTTTATAAACACGTATCAGTTGTTTTGTTACACAAAATTACAATACGTGACAGTAAAATAAAAATTTTTAAAAATATTACAATCAAATTCGATAAAATTTTTTATTTAAATTCTATGAATCCATAGAACTCATAAAAAAATTTTCATCGAATTTGGTCTGGTGGTGTGGAGATACCTTGTTAAAAAAATTGCGCAGCTTCAATTTTGTACTGATAACCACCCTAAATAATTTTCACATGTCTCTGCCGTCAATTTCGTCAATTTAATTGTTACCCCGCTTTAGCGTACAGTACCCCCAAAAGTAGCATTTACTAATTTCTCCCCACAGTTGTGATATTGAGCCAATCAGGATGCAAGATCAGGTGTAACGTGACAATCAAAACAACAATCACTTTTTTTTGAAAAGTCACACTTATCGTAAAACTTCGCCTAAGAAATCACCTTTTATGCACTAACAAAAAAAATTCCTTGCAAAATTTTAGTATAATGTTGCCTACTAACTCTAACCTCAACCTTAACTGAGGTGTCACGTTTTGTTTAGAAGGTGACATGTAAATTTGTACAAATAATCCCAGCCAATCACAACTGTGGGGAGAAATTAGTAAATGCCCTTTACGGCACTCGACGCAATCTCCTATAATGAATTATTTACCGTGCTCTAGGCAAAATTCTCAATAATCTCAATAATCCAAGTATATTAAAATTTTTTAAGGCCAAAATTTTTTTAAATACAAAAAGGTTAGTTAATTTACATAGTCAGTCGAAATTGATTATGATTTATGTAACAAGTGATGGCAACGCGCGTGACCTGCGCACGAACTTTTTTTTATTTTATCAATCCAATATCCTTTATAATTTCGTTTACATAAAGCAGAGCCTTTTATTTTATTATGCCCATCATTAATTTGCTTTTTAATTTCGTCCATATTTTAGTTTTTTAGACCACGGTATATCACTCAACGTTCACTAATGAAAATCACCTGAACTCACCTACTTGACTAATTCATGAATGGAGTACTCCACCGCACAACAAATACTACCACGAAGTCAGTATATTTCTAAAAATGTTCAAATGTATAATGGGTCAAAAAAGTAGGCACCTCTACTTTGGCGTTTTTTTATTTTTCTGCCCATCACTTGAAGGTTCTTTGACATCTTAGGATCCAAATTCTTTGACCAGAATCATTAAAGGCGTTTTGAATAATCAAAATATATTACGCTGAATTACTTCTTTGAGAATCGAGGTAATAATCTATATGCTACACGTGATTTTTAATTTACAAATTTGTTAGTAATCAATTTTAAACTAGAATTGCAGAAAAGTGGATAATGCAGCAAATATAACCTCTGCTTGCATTGTTCGGGTCCTTCACTGATGTAGGAACAAACGGCTACGAAAACAGTGAAATATAGATCTGTAAATAAAAAAAATATTATATAGTAAGACATAACATTTACGTATTATATTTATGTGATCACCACCGATAAAACAAAGTAATTTCTTTAGAAATAATACATAAAATAAATTATAGTTATTTTCATAAAACCTCTGTAAAATTCAAAATAATCTGATAAACAAATAAACAAGTATCATTTGACGTGTAACACAAAAATACGCCTACTATACTTTTTTGGGGTTCGCTAAAGCGGAGTAACTATTATATTGATGGAAGACATTAATCTCGCCAATATTTACTGTATTATCATTTACGCGTCTTTGATTAACGGCCCAGGAGTCGTACAGATCAAAATCATAAAAAAATCTACCTCATCAAATTTAATAAAATTTAATATTCAAATTCTACATGCTAATAGGATTCAGATAAAAAAAATTTATCGAATTTAATCGAGTGATTGTCGAGATATTTTCGCTCAAAGTTTTCAAAAAAATTCAAAACGTCTAAATATAAACAGCGCCAAAATTTTTGAGCGATGGTACCTCAACAACCGCCTGACTAAATATGATGAAAATTTTTTTATCTGAATTCTACGACTCTGTAGAATTCAAATAAAAAATTTTTATTAAGTTCAGTTAATGGTTGTCAAGATATCCTCACTAAAAAAATTCAAATATCTCAGTAAGGGTAATATCAAAATTGAAGCTGCGCCAATTTTTTTAAAAAAAATTGAGCGAAGATATCTCCACAACCACCTAACCAAATTCAGTAAATTTTTTTATTTAAATTCTATGAATGCGTAGAATTCAAATAAAAAATTTATCAAATTATTAGTTGGTTACTGTAATAGTTTTGATTTAATTTTAAAATTTTTTTATTTTTTTAATAAAAAAGTGGGCCTTTTTTAGGTCCGTACATACGTATTGTAATTCTGTGTAACAAAACAAATGATACGTAAAATTTATAAAAATTGATCTTTTAAAGATCTTTTGTTTTGTTGATTTCCCCTTTTCTACTCTCTAAAATTGTAAATATACTCTTTATAGAATTTGTTTATAATAGTCATCACTTCAATATAATGAACTATTAGCCACTACTGAAATAAGCTCTTCAATTCAGGCAATTGATAAAAAAAAACTTCCAACTTTATAGAACGAACCGATGCACCACTTTCAAGACACAAGACTTATAAGAGTATTTGTTATTCTTACTGAAGAACGAGAGCAATTAACGCCTTTCAAATATCTCTCGAAAATGAAAAAACCATTACTCGAATACACCCATCTTATTACATCTGTTGACGATTATTTTATACTGTGTCGGAAGAGAACAAAGTTGGTGAATCTAGTTCTAGGCCTAAAAACAAAAAAAGATTACACGGGGTAAATATAAAAATGCTTTATCGAATTTGTTTATAATAGTCATCACTTCAATATAATGAACTATTAGCTACTACTGAAATAAACTCTTCAATTCAGGCAATTGATAAAAAAAAAACTTCCAACTTTATGGAACGAACCGACGCACCACTTTCAAGACACAAGACTTATAAGAGTATTTGTTATTCTTACTGAAGAACGAGAGCAATTAACGCCTTTCAAAATATCTCTCGAAAATGAAAAACCATTACTCGAATACACCCATCTTATTACATCTGTTGACGATTATTTATATTATGGAATCAGAAACTTCAACTTTTGAAGAGAAATAAGAAAAGCAAGGATAAAATGTTAATATTTGTGAACTTCGGGTAATATTTCAAATTAATTTAGTAGATTTTAAACTAAGAAAATTTTTATATAATCATACGTATTAAAAATTTATTTTAGAAAAATTCTAACAACTTCATAAAAAAGCCGTCCTAAAAGATCTAATCTAAGGTGTAATGAACTTGGATCGAACACTTTGCAAGAACAACATGTTGATATCTTTGAATATTAGTGTCAGTATGGGTGTAGAATAAGCATTTGCAAGTGTTTTTTGCAAGAAATAATTACGTATAAACATGAGCGTGTCTAAAGAATACCCTGGAAAAAATAGAACACTACTTTAACACATTGTAAGAACTATAAGTTGGAATTTTTTAAGATTCTGTAATAATAACTTAGATTCAAAATTTGAAAAAGTACCAAAGACGCACTTTCCACAAATATCTTTATAATTTCTATAACTTTCAATATAATCATAACTATATCATAAAAATAAAAATTATTTGGTTCAATTTTTTTATAATAAAATCTTTTAATAATAAATATTGTAAAGACAATACAAATCAATTTTGTGTCTTGCAGTCTTTTAAAAAAATTTTTAACCTTTTTTTACCACTCGAACTATCTGTGAGTGTGAAAAATATGCCTTTTTTTATTCGCTCAATACCTATCAAGAAACAAGAGTAGCATGTTTGCAATTTATAACCTAAAGTATTATTATGAAATAAAAGTAAATATGAATTTAATTGTCAGAATGGATAGTGGAACAAACAGTGCATTAATATCAAACATCCATTCATTATCAGAATTCTGTTTATCTAAATAGACAGGGAAAGGATTATCAAAGTCGGCAGAGAAAACTGTACTTAGTGAATATTATTATAAGATGAAGGGTAGTAATTTTATGAATAATCTTTAGTTTTATTACAGAGAAGAGTGTTTTTATTTACGGTCCTATTCAAATATTTGTCCTACGTAATTTTTTAAACGTGAAATTTATGTACGCAACAAGAAATTTTTTTTAACACGTATATGCACGGTGAAAAAGTCGTGCGACTACTAATTTAAATATAAAAACTAACTATCCAATCTAACACACTAGATAGTCTAACCAAGACTTCAAGACGCCTAAAACCTTGAATTGGCAGGCTGAGAGAGACTTGGTCCGAGTCTCAAGGCTTTTCGGGTCTTGTTGCAGCGTATTTCGTTTAAGATAAGTATACCCGGGAATTATACTATCGTTGGTGTTGTATTTACTTCAGATGGAAGCTAAGAATGATTCTTTTCGATCTTCGATACAATCGTTAAGATTCTTAACGATTGTCACGTGGATCACGTGGTTGGATTTGGAATTTCATATCGATATCGGAGATAACTAATTTGAGTCAAACAATGACGTCGATCGGGCTCGATTCGCGGATTTCGAAGTGAGGTCACGGGAGATTAACAATGAGGTAATCGAGGTTTAATCAATGTATTGTCTATATATAGGGGCTCTAATGGTTAATCGATTCTCTCTTTCTTGTTTTCCAGAAGAACTCGGGGATAAGGTTTATATAAAACAGGGAACTTAGAGCCAACACTTCTACTTGAATTTCGAAGGTCAAGACTCTCCTTGGGTATACAACGAATTAACAGTTTATTTTATAATAATAGGACAGTGACAAGAGTAATAATTGAGCGATTTATTAGGAACAACTAGATAAGATAGTAAAAACTACTGGAGTACTTCTACTATTATTATTTCGAAATTTTACTCAACTGAGTTATGTTTTATTTTAACGCGACAGAGACATCGCTTTTATACTTTTTCACTCTATGTACCATACAGGTTTTTTACAAGAGATTTTATGGACGAAGTATCCATTCTACTTAATCGGACAATTATAATCGAGTTAACAGATAAGTCTAATCTACCTATTCTGACAATTACAAACGAATTATCAGAGTAAACCTAATTGTCAGAACAGAACGATCCGTCCAATTGGTACGGAATGGGAGATGTGTAATTACTATAATAGGACTATATGGAAATACGCAACTAATCGAATTCTTAATACATACATTAGAAATAAAACAAGAATAATAACAACAATAATAATAATAATAATAAATAATAATAATAATAATAATAATAATAATAAAGAAATAATATAAAAAAATAATAATCGGGAGCCGGACCCTTCACAACGGACTAGAAGTGAAAAAGACTGAAGATGAATGAATAACTTGTATTTCTTTAGTGAATCTCATCTAGTGATGTACATGGATCACGGAATTTTTTTATCGTATAGTACGTATAGTATTTCGTAAAGAAAGAACAGATTCGTTAATATTTAATAATAACATTATCCAAAAGCTATCTTAAAACCTAATATGGTATTCGATCGAGGCATGAATGGATCTAGTCCGAGAATTAGAGTGCTCTATTGATATTGCTGCAGTTACGAGATTCACAATTAGTTAAGCATCTTCTTTTATTGCGTCATTTCTTATTTTAATTCCTTCTTTATATTTTCTAATGATGCTATACACTCTCTTAGTATGCTGAATTATAATCTATTAAATTCCAATTTCAGATCGTAACACGAGATTACGATATTTCTATACTCTATTTATATTTTATACATGGTTTCGTTTCCTAATTCTAATTCTTTCTCTTTGTTTTTACTAAATGAATACAGCACAAATACCAGGTTTAGAAAATAACAGGGACAAGAATACGGGAAATACGAGGAGGAAACTACTTTGGACCTTCGAAATTTGAACACTATTCGAGTTGAAGGTATGCTTTGGTCGCTTATATACTGTTACTTTAAATTATTGTCGCGGCTGAAGCTGGAAACGGCTGATGCTGGAAATTATGGACCTTGATTTAAATATAAAAACCCTACCAAAATCTACTTATACTCTTTTATTATTAAAACTACCACTAAACCCTAACCCAACCCTAAAAAAAAACCCCTAACAAAGGCCCCAAAAATTTTTAAAAATTTCATATTAAAATAATTAAAATTTCCAGCATCAGCCGCAACAATTATTTACGAATAAACTATTAAATTTAACTACTTTCTATTCGATTTTACAGTACAACATACAGCATAGTTTTGTTCTTTCGTATTTTCAGGATATCGTGATATAAAATATTTTCCAAAATTTTAGCGCTGAGAAAGTGGTGGGTGATCAGAGAACACGACAATCCAACAAATAATATCTATAAGCTATCAACAAATACAATCAGAAACCCCAAAACTGAAGGTTTCGATCGAGGCATGGAAGAATTGGACTCAGAGAAGTCTTCTTTTACTTACTTGTTTTATATCTCTTATATAGAATATATCAATTTGGTACTAATAACTCTACTATATCTTCTATTTCAGGTATACTGCCGGATTACGTATCACGGTGTAATTAATAATCTAGTGATGATATAGATTGTTCACGGAATTGTCATTTAATCAATACAGAGGTAGGTAATACGAACGCGGTTCCCATTCTCTTTCTTACGATTGAATATGGCTTATATGATAACATAGTGAGAAGATATTTTGTTTTTAAGGAAATACTACTTGGGGGCTTCTATTGTTGAAGTTGAGATCTCAAGAGTTGATTTTTATTGAAGGTAAAATTGTCTGCTTATAAATTTCTCAAATACATACTAAAATTCGCTACCGATATTAATTATTTATCTTAATTTCTCGATTTCTCCTATTACAAAATAACGAAAATAACCAAAATAATGAAAAAACAGTAGCAAAATAGCAAAAATAGAAAAAATCGACTGATGAACTACGTCGAATACCGCAGCATTCATCGGGGCAAGATCGACCTTTACAGCGCACAGCACTCGACACATTAATCACAGCACAATCTGCAAATCTCAATAATCCAAGTATACTAAAATTTTAGTTGATTCGGTTTTTGTCAAAACTATTGTGATTTATGTAACAAGTGATGGGCAACGCGCGTTACTTTTCTTTTATTTTATTAAGCCCATCATTAATTTGCTTTCTATCTTCTGGTTAATTTATTTTATCAAAAAACTGCAAATTGCCCATCACTAATCTAGAGATGGGTTCGGTCAGCTAGTAGTCGGCTAGTCGATCGGTTATAGCCGTAGTCCATGTAGTCGACTATAACGGCTTAGCTGACCGGCTAGCCGATGTATAATGCGGGCCAAAATTTTGCAGTTAGTTAATTAACTGCTATGGCAAAATTGGTGCGCAGCTAAGGTATTTTTATTGTAAGATAGTGAAAGACAGGCATGCTTTATCTAACAATCGAGCAATTTTTTTGATAATTATAAATATCCCAGTTTGCAAAATGTACCCAATTTCAATAATTTTTTATTCTATAAACTTACAGAATTAAATAAAAAAAATTGAATCAATGGTTGTTGAGAAATCTTCGTTTAAGTAAAAAAACAAAGAAAATTTACAAAAAATTTTTTACAATCTAATTCTGGTTAAACTTTTGCTCTTTTTTTTTCGTTCAGTGTTCTGGTCTTTGTACACAAAATACTATGCAAGCACGTTCAAAGTATCAAAGTACTATCGAAAAGACTAGACGATTGTAACGCACTTAAAAAATAATTCATATCACAATTTACTGGGTTTAAGTCATTACAATGAAATTTTGAAATTTGTACTTACGGGTTTTCTATTGGCAACACGTTGATTCATCGATAGACATTTCTCATTATATCTGGTAAATATAACAAACGTTCGTTAATTAAAATATTTGAAATAGTCTGTTTACCACCTATTAATTTCTTTCTGTGCTGAATTAGTCGACGAAACACATTGGAGGGTTTCAGGGTTTCAGAATTAATGATTCGGCGTTCGATTTCAGATAAAATAAGTGCCAGATTTATTTCAAAAGAAGCGACGTTCAAATTCTATTTTTTTAAAGTATGTACTTATTTACATAATTGCTTGCCAATGAACGTTTATCAAAAAAAGCTAATTTTATCACCGGCTACACCTATTTAATTTTCTGCTTCGGAATTCTAAAAAAGAAAATTATGATCTTTTGAACTCCCACTTATTTTGAAAAAGTTAATTCTGAAACCCCATTATAATTAATTTCTCATCCAGGGCGGGTATAGCGATCATTGAATAGTCAAATTATTTATTATTCATTAATTTCTTATTCGTACCGATATGGTTCATAGTTACTTCTTTTCTTATCTAAACTAATTCAACAATGATTACTATTAATCAACATAATGCAATCTATTCGCCCCATTAGATTTTTCTTATTTTGAGTTGCTCATCTACGTTTAATTTAACCATAAGCAAGTGATCAATATATTTACTCACCACTCACCAATTTTTATATATATTGATTCAATAGGTCTCTTCTCATGTTTGAAATATAGTTGTTCTTGGTCTTTTTATACTCAAATCAGATCGTACTACTCAAGTCAAGTTAGACCCTATACATATATACCTGATACGTTTATACCTGTAAGTATCTGGTATATACCTGACATGTACATCCAATACGTACAGTACATACATACGTATTTTTCGTCCAAAGATTGGTAACATACTAACGTTATGGCATTTATACTAGAAAAAGCTATTTCTAATGAGCATATTAATTATCTTAAAATCTTGATCAGTATTAGAGATTTTGGAAATACTTTTAAATACGAGTGAAAAGATGGTGAATGAAGTAATAAACTCTTATATGATTTGCTTGGAATATCAATTTATTAATACCTATACTTTAATAATTTAGCATTCAAAGAACATCTTGATTCATCAAAGAAGCAAAGATCTCTGACTTTGGACTATCAAAACAGATAAACAAGACATCAAATTCAACCGTTCCGAAACCATGTGATGCTAATTGTCACATGGTACAATATATAAAAATCAAGTAATAGCACGTGAGCATGATGGAAATTTGTTTTAATTGGCCAAAAAATGATCGACATTTTATAAATAACAAATTTTGATTGGTTAAACTAAAGATTAACTTCACGTTATCTCGCAATACCCTTTTATGGTTTTTTTGTAAAACCGATTGACCAATTGATAATATCTAGCATTTTATAACTTGCTCACGTGAAGTTAGAAACTTTTAATCAAGAAAACTGTAGATTTTTATTAGCTGTTTCGTTTTAAAATGCCAAAAATTTAATGTAAATTTCTTTGTGTTACGTACTGGCATTGTCAGAATCGCTTCTAGTAAAAGTTGGTGAAAACTTGATCCCACTTGATCCCAAACGTTTATATAAAAGCTATACTTCTAAAAAGCAGTCTGGTGAAATTTTAGGTAACCTTAAGTATAAAAAAGTTTAACTTGTTTCAATTCGAATTAATTTTCTATTATAAACCAATATAAAAAGTTTGTGTAACAGTACTTTTCAATAGAAAATAAACAACCAATAAAAACCAACTTCTATTATGCTTAGCACGTGATAATTAGCATCACATGGTTTCGTCAGGCGTCACTAATCTCAATGTCTTATTACAGGGGATTGCTAAAGCCTTGTACTTACGTAATTTTTAAAGGTTTAATTGTAATTAGGGTTAGGGTTAGATTAACGTTAGAGTTAGAGTAGTTTTATAGATAAAATTGCCTTCCCAACATTTTTTATTAATGCAACAAGACAGGTTTAGACTGCTGTTTTTCATATTTTTGTGTTTTTTGATTTTTTGACTTCTTCGGGTTTGATCTGTATAAACAAATTTCATGATTTTGATTGGTTGACCTATATATAAAAAGACACGTGGGTACAAGGCTTTAGCGGACCCCTTATTACAGTCCAGACAGTTTGGAATAATAATGATCGATTCTAGAACGGTCTATATAATTTCTCGCATTTTTATTGGCTTGTAGTCATACTTTTTTTGACATGAAATTTTGAGCTTTTTATATATCCGTTGATAACCAATAAATATATATATATAAAGTAGAAGGCTCAAAGTTTCATAATCAATAGAAAATCAATTATAATCAGTCTTCTTTAATGAAATAAATGAGACCCAAAAAAAAGGTAATTTCAAAGCTTATATTTCTTGGTTACTTGAATTTCTATGCTTTTACATATTATAAAGGCAATAATATCATAGAATAAGTGTACAAATATTTTACCAGGTGAATTTCTCAAAGTATTAGAACAAAAAAGAATGCCAAGAATAGCCACCAGTTTTGATCAAAAATACTTGGAATATTAATCATAATACTGTAATATGGATCAGAAAAAGTAAGCAAGGTAACAAAGGCACCTTGCAAAAATATCACACCAACTTTCTTGGATCTTAGAATGATCTTGGATCAGATAGAAGTATATTAGCAAATACACTTTGTAAAACATCACGGGTTTCTTTAAATCTTGATCAGAATAAATTCAGATTAGAAGCAAATAGCACTTTGCTCGCTAGCTTCTTTGAATTAGAATTAGCATCAACCAATACACTTTGAAAACCTCTATACTGACTTTTTTGTAAATAATCTTGGATCAGAAAAAAGAATCTTGAATCAAGAAATAACATATATGTCTCACATTTCTTTTTTTTTCTTTATCAAGTTTGTTTTATTTTTTGTTCAATACTCTAATATTTCTTTTTTTTTTATATTCAAAAGAATTGAAATACTGAAATATCTTGAATGTATCAAACGTAGATTAGCGTTGTCTTAGAAATACAATGAGAGAACTTTTATATTTAGATTAATTATAAGTTTAGTGTAATATACTTTTTCATCTAATTTTAACGCTTTTACATGCTAAATTTAAAATAATAGTTAAAACCTTAAAACACAATTACTTTGTTCCAGAAAAGCAAATAATCACCAAGCTTTATATCACTACTACTAGCCCCACACTTTTTTTTTATTATAATATTTGTACAGGACCCCGAACAATACTAATAGAGGTCATATCTGAAAAATAGCTAATAGGAGTCAAAATTTTGCAAAATTAAGCAATTTGATTGGCTAAAAAATTTTATATCCAATCAAATTTCAGAAAAACCACTAATAGCTCAAATATAACATCTATTATAATTATTCGGGTCCTATCTGTACTAGCAAAATACGGGCTTTTTTTGTTGAACTTTTTAGAAGTATGACCTGTCTTTAAAATCATTTAATATTTACATCGTTACTAGTTCTGTGCTTTTTTATTATCACAATACAACAATAATCATTTTAATATTTTATATCAATAGTTATCATACTGTTTTTTAATTAGGGTACTGTTATAAGAAACTTTAATAAAACCAAGATTGCAATATAAAAAAATATAAGCCAAACAGGTACAATATATAATAAATTTATTTGACTTTTCATCATAATAAACTAATTCTAATTTAAATTTTTTTAGTAGCAGGATTTAGTTAACAACAATGTAAACGGCGACTAGCATATGAACTACCTTGTGCCTTGACTTCTTCAGTTTCATTGCACAATAGTTTTGGATTGTTAGAATGTAAAACTAAAGAGTGACAAACAATATAGCATGCGGATAGTAAATTGGCAAAAAGTTGTCTTCCATTATACAACAGTTTTTTTTTGAATTAATTCAAATTCAAACATATTTAGAAGATTTTTCTTTATGTGAAAAACATTATAATCAACTTATTGTGTCTGATTTCTTATGACAGGTTTTTACAGATACGAATTATTCTAAAAATAAATAACAAACACATAATCTTGATTTGGAAAATGAATTGGTTGAAAAGCAGGCTCATACAGAGCATATTTATAAAATAGAAGTTAGAAAAAATACTTGCAAAATTGGTATTCAAACTAACAAGTTTGATAATAAAAATCTCTGTAATATTGGCATACAAGTATCTAACAACATGTCACATACTCTTGAAAATTATATTAATATACTTC